TATATATATATAATATGTCGGGTTCAGGTCATTGAAATGCAGGTAAAATCAAACTCAAATCTGCCCCGAAATCAACCTGCTAACCTGAATTGGCATCCTGAGAAGTTCTTACTTACGTATTTCTACTATCCTATCTTGTGGCACAGATTGCTACTGTGACCTGATGCTATTGTGAGCTAAGTACTCACTGCTGTGACAAATAAACAAAAACTTGAAGATTTGTAAAGCTTTTGACAAAACCAGAATTATTACTGCCCTACATTCCAACTTTTCTTCCGTATTATTCTTTGAATTTTACCATTATTATTTTTGCTTTTGAAGTGTATAGAGGACTAGCTTGGCTGTAATTATCATTGTTGCGTTATCTTTAAAAAAGCTATATTGTTTTATATGGCTAATTTATTTCATACATCTTTAAAAGGAATCAGAGAATGAAGTACGATATCTGAAGGAAAGTCTTAAAAAGCAGAGAGCTCAAGCTAATAAAATAGAGAAAGAATTGAATGAAATAAGAACCCTACGCTCATGCCCAAGTAAGCCTGCAGTGGAAGAAGGCGCTAATACTCTTTCATTTAATCATGGTGTTTCCGTGTCACTGGTTCCTTCAGATCCAGACAATGAACAGGGCACTGATGTTCTGCCTGATGAAACTAATACTACCTTGGTGAGGATATGCCTTTTATTTATGTAAACTGGATGATATAACTGAGCTGTATTTATCATCATTCAATCTTTTCTTCTGCAGCTTCTTAGTGAAGTAAATGCCTGATTTATCTGCTTTTTTATCTGAGAATGTTTAAAGCTGTTAAGAATGTGTTATGTGCTACAATAGAATAAAAACCTCAAAAAGTATTAAGGAAGCCCATCTCAGATAGTCATGATTGCTTCTGCTTATGGTGATTTCAAATCATTTTAAACTCAAGAATTGTTGTTTTTTTTTTTTACTTCATTAGTTGTGGATTGAGCTAAAATGTTAGATTTACTGGCCAACTTTCAATATAAATTGTGAAGGGGGTTTCAAGTTAAATACCTTTGCATTTATTTTTTGAACTAGTTTTTATTTTATTTCTCTTGGAATCACTACCTTATTTAACTAGCTCTTATTCTACTTCTCAGTGTCCTGAAACTTCAATAAAAATTGAAATGGATCAAAATAGAAAGACAGTTGATGGCAGTTTGCTTGACATAAAATCTACAGGTGTCTAATATCATGAATAGCCATTATTTCGAGCTTTGTTCTTAAAATATTGTTATTAATGTGAATATACTTTTGTTTGAAGTTCATCTTTTAACTTTGTTACATCTGTAGATAATAAGGGTATGTTGTCTCCGCCACTTCATCAAAGGACGCTGAAAAAGGTGATTTTAGGGCTCTTTTATCTGAAAAATGCTTTTGTTATTATTCGTTTTTTTCTGTAGATATTTTGGATGATTTGAGTGAACTTCAATACACAAATGATGGTTCTCACGTCCACTCATCAAATGGTAGCTTCAATTATCAAAACAATTTCTGAAATATATGCTAGGATATTTGTTTGTATTTTTAGGTGTTTATGATCCCTCTAGTTACTTTTGGTGGGTTTTTTATTACATGACTGACAAGAAAACTGGAATTTCTTGTTTGAGGTAAAATCTTAAAATGCGATGTTTTGATCCCCATAACTTCGGAAAGTAGATAGAGAAGTTTATAAAATCTCTGATCTAGTTTTCTTCATGGAATAATGAGTAAATTTTATGTCTTTTGTCTTGTTTGTTTCAGGTACACATTGCTGCTGAAGCATGTTCAAGGTTGCCTTTGGAAGAAAAATCTGAGGATCTAAATTATCAGGTATAGGAAGCCAAATATTTCAAAGATGTAATTCAATGTTGCATGGATCCTCTAATAGCTCCTGTTTATTATTTATTCAATAAATTTTATAATCTTTTCTTTTCTTCCATTCCAATTCATTTTGTTTTAACTTGAGTTTCAATGAACAGTATTTAGATGAGGGCCTTGAAAACTTCCAAAAACTTGCTCAAAGCTATGTGCAAGTTGGAGAGATGGATGATTTGGTAATGAATTTGTCAGAAGTTTCTAGATTAAAAGGTAGAACTTCATTGTTTTTTTTTTCAATAATATGTATCGTTTTGTTTGATTTAAATGAATTAAGTTCATAAGCTTTTCACAAGCATCTACTAAAGGAAATTGGAAAATACTACAAAATCACTCTATGTATATGCTTTTTCAAAGGACCAGACGGCAATGCTCCAGTTAATATTCCATTAACTGAGCATGAATACAGTGGTGAAACATCAAATCACTCTACTTATCTTCTTCGACCTACTGTTCCACTCGAAAGTGAAGATTGCACTTTGTGTTTGCCTGTGAAGGAAGAGATCTCAATTAATCAAGACGGAAAGGTATATTTCAGTGATTATATAACTTTTTTTAATTTATACTGTGACTTCTACTGTAAATTTTACACCATGAAATTTTACTCATGAGAACACCCGCCTCCATTTTTCTGTGGGAAGGCATAAATGTTCTTAATTAGAATGAATTCATCATTCATGTGCTTGAATGAATTACTCCTTTTATTTAACAGGAAACGGTTTCATGCAATTCTGCAATGAATTTTTTATTCTATCTATGCGTTGCACAGTAGCTTAAGAATCCTGGCTCAAAATCTTAAGGTTTTCATGATATTCAATATTTTTGTGGACTTAGTAGGAATCATTATAACGTTCCTGTTTTCTACAATAACATGATTTTTGTGTGGACTTAGCGGGAATTGTGATTGTTTTATGAACATATCTTTGGCGTTATGATTTTCTAATACAACCTTGGCCATGCAATGCTTGCACGTATCACGGCTATTGGCATTATGTTTCCTCTGCATTGGAGGAGACATATGGTTTCTCAATAAAAACTCTTAGTAATGACATCTTTGTATGTATATTAATATTTTCAGATTAGTTATTGTCTCCTGTTGGGAAAACTTATTGTTGATAGAAGGGAGGATATATTTATCTTTTCATGTTTTTGATACTAAAGGGATTGATGATAGCTATGAAAACACACCCTCTGAATGTCCCATTTGAATGTGTGAGAGGTCGAGAGAACTTTCCTTGAGGTAGATGGGATTTAGTTTAATCAAATTGATGTTGGATAAAGATGCTTGCCAGTTGTCGATGTTAGAGTGTAAGGGCATCATCATTGAAGGTAATAGCACAAATATTATGCTCTTTTTAAATTCTTCTATGAAGCAGGATGTTTGGAACAATTGGCATCAGGATATGTCAGATTTAGCATTTTTTTTTAAATTTTGAGCAAGTTTTATTTTTTCATACGCCACGAGAATGTAGCAAGGCCACTTATTTCTGTGCCAAGCTTTCCCTTGGTGATATTTTTCTTTTGATTCATATAGATGATGATAGAGAATCCTCGACCCTACTTATATATGACAAGTCTCTTTTTTGTATATCATAGATGCATTCCTTCACAGTTTTGTACTTTTTGTTGTTTTTTTAGTGCAAATGCGTACTTTCACAAATAAAGATTTATCTTGATATGTTGTTGAGACTTTTTATGGTTGCAAGCTCCATAGTTATATTACCCTAGAGATTATAGGTGAGTACTTTCTATTAAAGTGGTCGCTAATGTAGTTGGCTTAACTCTCATCCATTGAGATATTGTTCTCTTTAACCTAATGCTTCACGATTTTGTCCCATTGGTGTAACTTTCTAGGAGGTCGTCGATCCCTGGAGTGCTTCCGCATAAGCACACTTTTCTTTGGAGTTTTTGATGAAATTCTAACTGTTACACCAAAAGGCGTCTTGATGTTTGGAAGTTCAGCTATATTCTACTTTAAGGGGTCTCACATAAATCACTGGCATCATTGTCAGTAGTCTGAACCTAGAATCATCCACTAGATAAATAAGATTCTAGATATTAAGGATCTACATTATCTAATTTTGGAAGAAAATGCCAAGGTTCTAAATAATCAGGTATATGAAGCCATATATTTCAAAGATGTAATTCAATGTTGCATGGATCCTCTAATATCTGCTATTTTTTATTTATTTAATACATGTTATAATCCTTTATTTTCTTCCATTCCAATTCATTTTGTTTTAAGTTGAGTTTCCATGAACAGTATTTAGCTGAGACCCCTGAAAACTTACAAAAACTTGCTCAAAGCTATGTTCAAGTGGAAGAGATGGATGATGTGGTAAAGAATTTGTCAGAAGTTTCTAGTTTAAATGGTAGAGCTTCATTGTTTTTGTTTTCAATAATATGTTTCGTTTTGTTTGATTTAAATGAATTAAGTTCATAAGCTTTTCACAATCATCTACAAAAGGAAATTGGGAAATACTACAAAATCACTCTTTATAAATGCTTTTTCAAAGGACCAGACGGCAATGCTCCAGTAAATATTCCTTTAACTGAGCATGAATACAGTGGGGAAACATCAAATCACTCTGCTTGTGTTCCTCAACCTACTGTTCCACTAGAAATTGAAGATTGCACTTTGTGTTTGCCTGTGAAGGAAGAGATCGCAATTAATCCCGATGGAAAGGTATATTTCAGTGATTATATAACTTTTTTTAATTTATACCGTGACTTCTACTGTAAAGTTTACACCTAGAAATTTTACTCATGAGAACACCCGCCTCCATTTTTCTGTGGGAAGGCATAAATGTTCTGAATTAGACTGAATTCAGTTTTCATGTCCTTGAATGAATTACTCCTATTTAACAGGGAACGGTTTAATGCAATTCTGCAATGAATTTTCTATTCTATCTATGCGTTGCACACTAGGTTAAGAATCCTGGCTCAATATCTTAAGGATTTCATGATATTCAAGATTTTTATGGGCTTAGTAGGAATCATTATTACGTTCTCGTTTTTTACAATAACTTGATTTTATTATGAACTTAGCAGGAATTCTGATTGTATTATGAACATATCTTTGACTTTATGATTTTCTAATACAACCTTTGCCATGCAATGCTTGCACCCACCACGGCTATTGGCATCATGTTTCTATTATTAATGACATCTCTCTGCATTGGAGGAGACATATGGGAGGAGACATATGTTTCTCATTAAAAACTGTTATTAATGACATATTTGTATGTATTTTAATATATTAAGATTAGTTTTTGTCTCTTGTTGGGAAGACTTATTGTTGATAGAAGGAAGGATATATTTATCTTTTAATGTTTTTGATAATAAAGGGGTTGATGATAGCTATGGAAAGGCACTCTTTAAATGTCTCATTTTAATGTGGGAGAGGTCGAGAGAACTTTTCTCGAAGTAGATTGGGTTTAGTTTAATTAAATTGTTGTTGGATAAAGAACTTGCCAGTTATGGATGTGCAGTGTAAGGGCATTATCATTGAAGGTAATAGCGCAAATATTGTGCCCTTTTTAAAGTCTGTTGTGAAGAAGGATGTTTGGAACAATTGGCATCGGGATACGCCGGATTTAGCTTTTTTTTTAATTTTAAGCAAGTTTTATTTTTTCATATGCCACAATAATGTAGCGAGACCACTTATTTTTGTGCCAGGCATGCCCTTAGTGATATTTTTCTTTTGATTCATATATATGATGATAGAGAGCTCTCTACCATACCTATATATGACAAGTCTCTTTTTTGTATATCATAGATGTCTTCTTGCACAATTATATACCTTTTGTTGGATTTTTAGTGCAAATGCTTACTTTCTCGAAAAGACATTTATCTAGATATGTTGTTGAGACTTTTTTATGGGTGCAAGCCGCCATAGTTAGAATACATTCGAGATTATAGGTGAGTAGTCTATATTAAAGTGGTCAATAGTGTAATAGGTTGAACTCTCATCCTTTGAGATATTGTTTTTTTGGCCTAACGGCTTCACGATTTTGTTCCATTGGTGTAAGAGGCCATCCATTCCAGGAGTAATTCCACGTATACTTAACTTTGGAATTTTTTATGAAACTCTAACTGTTACACCAAAAAGTGTCCTGATGTTTAGATGTTCAGCTTTATTCTACTTTAAGGGGTCTCACTTAAACCACTGACATCATTGTCAGTGGTCTTCACCCAGAATCATCCACTAGATAAATAAGATTCTAGACGGTAAGGATCTAAATTATCTACCTTTGGAAGAAAATGCCAAGGATCTAACTTATCAGGTATAGGATGCCAAATATTTCAAAGATGTAATTCAGTGTTGCATGGATCCTCAAATACCTGTTTTTTTTTTTATTTTTTCAATAAATTTTATATTTTTTTTTTCTTCCATTCCAATTCATTTTGTTTTAACTAGAGTTTCCATGAACAGTGCTTAGATGAGGACCCTGAAAACTTCCAAAAACTTGCTCAAAGTTATGTTCAAGTGGGAGAGATGGATGATGTGGTAATGAATTTATCAGAAGTTTCTGGTTTAAAAGGTAGAGCTTCATTGTTTTTGTTTTCTACAACATGTATCGTTTTTGTTTAATTTAAATGAATTAAGTTCATAAGCTTTTCACAAGCATCTACTAAAGGAAATTGGAAAATACTACAAAATCACTCTATATAAATGTTTTTTCAAAGGACCAGACGGCAATGCTTCAATAAATATTCCATTATCTGAGCATGAATACAGTGGCGAAACATCAAATCATTCTGTTTGTGTTTCTCAACCTGCTGTTCCACTCGAACGTGAAGATTGCACTTTTTGTTTGCCTGTGAAGGAAGAGATCTCAATTAATCAGGACGGAAAGGTATATTTCAGTGATTATTTAATTTTTTTTTTAATTTTTACCGGGACTTCCACTATAAAGTTTTCACCATGAAATTTTACTCATGAGAACACCTGCCTCCATTTTTCTGTGGGAAGGCATAAATGTTTTTAATTAGATTGAATTCAGCTTACATGTCCTTGACTTAATTACTCCTTTTATTTAACAGGAAACGGTTTTATGCAATTCTGCAATGAATTTTCTTTTTTATCAATGCGTTACACAATAGCTTAAGAATCCGGGCTCAATATCTGAAGGATTTCATGACATTCAAGATTTTTATGGACTTAGTAGGAATCATTATTACGTATGGACTTAGCAGGAATTCTGATTGTATCATGAACATATCGTTGACGTTATGATTTTCTAATACAACCTTGGCCATGCAATGCTTGCACCCACCACGGCTATTGGCATCATGTTTCTATTATTAATGACATCTTTTTATGTATATTAATATATTATGATTTGTTTTTGTCTCTTGTTGGGAAGACTTATTGTTGATAGAAGGAAGGATATGTTTATCTTTTCATGTTTTTGATAATAAAGGGATTGATGATAGCTATGGAAAAGCACCCTTTAAATGTCTCATTTGAATGTGGGAGAGATCGAGAGAACTTTTCTTGAGGTTGATTGGGTTTAGTTTAATCAAATTGTTGTTGGATAAAGAGCTTACTAGGTGTGGATGTTGGAGTGTAAGGGCATCATCATTGAAGGTAATAGAGCAAATATTATGCCCTTTTTAAAGTCTGCTATGAAGCAGGATGTTGGAACAATTGGCATCAGGATATGCCGGATTTAGAATTTTTTTTGAATTTTAAGAAAGTTTTATTTTTTCATAGGTTGCGATAATGTAGCAAGGCCACTTATTTTTGTGCCAGGCATGCCCTTAGTGATATTTTTCTTTTGATTCATTTAGATGATGATGGGGAACTCTCTACCATACTTATATATGCCAAGTCCCTTTTTTGTATATAATAGATGCATTCTTTCACAGTTTTGTACCTTTTGTTGATCTTTTAATGCAAATGTATGCACGAATATAGATTTATCTAGATATGTTGTTGAGAATTTTTATGGGTGCAAGCCTCCATAGTTAGATTACCCTCGAGATTATAGGTGAGTGCTCTCAATGAAAGTGGTTGCTAGTGTAACAGGTTGAACTCTCATCCGTTGAGATATTGTTTTCTTTGGCCTAATGGCTTCACGAATTTGTCCCGTTGATGTAACTTTCTAGGAAGTCATCCATCCCTAGAGCGCTTCTGCATAAGCAGAATTAACTTCGGAGTTTTTGATGAAGTTCTAATTGTTACACCAAAAGGTGCCTTAATGTTTAAAACTAAAGCATTATTCAGCTTTAAGGTGTCTCACTTAAACCACAGGCATCATTGTCAGTCATCTTAACCTAGAATCGTCCACTAGATAAATAAGATTCTTGATGGAAAGAATCTAAATTATCTGCCTTTGGAAGAAAATGCCAAGGATCTAAATTACAGGTATAGGAAGCCAAGTATTTCAAAGATGTAATTCAATGTTGCATGGATCCTTTAATAGCGCTCCTGTTTATTATTTATTCAATAAATTTTATAATCTTTTCTTTTCTTCCATTCCAATTCATTTTGTTTTAACTTGAGTTTCCATGAACAGTATTTAGATGAGGACCCTGAAAATTTCCAAAAACTTGCTCAAAGCTATGTTCAAGCGGGAGAGATGAATGATGTGGTAATGAATTTGTCAGAAGTTTCTAGTTTAAAAGGTAGAGCTTCATTGTTTTTGTTTTCAATAATATGTATCGTTTTGTTTGATTTAAGTTCACAAGTTTTTCACAAGCATCTACTAATGGAAATTGGAAAATACTACAAAATCACTCTATCTAAATGCTTTTTCAAAGGACCAGACGGCAATGCTTTAGTAAATATTCCATTTACTGAGCATGAATACAGTGGCGAAACATCAAATCAATCTGCTTGTGTTCCTCAACCTACTGTTCCACTCGAAAGTGAAGATTGCACTCTCTTTTTGCCTGTGAAGGAAGAGATCTCGATTAATCAAGATGGAATGGTATGTTTCAGTGATTATGTAACTTTTTTTAATTTATACCGTGACTTCCACTGTAAAGTTTACGCCGTGAAATTTTACTCATGAGAACACCCGCCTCCATTTTTCTGTGGGAATGCATAATTGTTCTTAGTTAGAATGAATTCAGCTTACATGTCCTTGAATGAATTACTCCTATTTAACAGAAAACAGTTTCATGGAATTCTGCAATGAATTTTCTATTCTAGCTATGTGTCGCACACTAGCTTAAGAATCCTGGCTCAATATCTTAAGGATTTCATGATATTTAAGATTTTTATGGACTTAGTAGGAATCATTATTACGTTCTCGTTGCTAGAATAACGTAACTTGTGTATGGACTTAGCAGGAATTCTGATTGTATTATGAACATATCTTTGGCGGTATGATTTTCTAATACAACCTTGACCATGAAATGCTTGCACCCACCACGGCTATTGGCATCATGTTTCCTCTGCATTGGAGGAGACATATGGTTTCTCAATAAAAATTATTATGAATGACATTTTTGTATGTATATTAATATATTAAGATTAGTTATTGTCTTCTGTTGGGAAGACGTATTGTTGATAGAAGGAAGGATATGTTTATCTTTTCATGTTTTTGATAATAAAGGGAAACGCACCATCTAAATGTCCCATTTGAATGTGCGAGAGGTCGAGAGAACTTTTCTTGAGGTAGATTGGGTTTAGTTTAATAAAATTGATGTTGGATATAAATGCTTGCCAGTTGTGGATGTTGGAGTGTAAGGGCATCATCATTGAAGGTAATAGCACAAATATTATGCCCTTTTTAAAGTCTTTTATAAAGCAGGATGTTTGGAACATTTGGCATCAGGTTATGTCAGATTTAGCATTTTTTTTAAATTTTGTGCAAGTTTTTATTTTTCATACGCCACTAGAATGTAGTAAGGCCACTTATTTCTGTGAGAAGCATGCACGTAGTGATATTTTTCTTTTGATTCATATAGATGACGTAGAGAACTCTCTACCATACTTATATATGACAAGTCTTTTTTTTGTATATCATAGATGCATTTTTGCACAGTTTTATACTTTTTGTTGATGTTTTAGTGCAAATGCTTACTTTTACAACTAAAGATTTATCTAGATATGTTGTTGAGACTATTTATGGGTGCAAGCCTCCATAGTTTGATTACCCTCGAGATTATAGGTGAGTACTCTTTATTAAAGTGGTCGCTAGTGTAACAGGCTGAACTCTCATCCATGAGATATTGTTCTCTTTAGCTTAATGGCTTTACGATTTTATCCCATTTGTGTAACTTCCTAGGAGGTCATTCATCCCAAGAGTGCTTCCGCTTAAGCACAATTAACTTTGGAGTTTTTGATGAAATTCTAACTGTTACACCAAAATGTGCCTTGATGTTTAGAAGTTCAGTTTTATTCTACTTTATGGGTACTCGCTTAAAGTACTGGCATCATTGTCAGTGGTCTTAACCCAGAATCTTCCACTAGATAAATAAGATTCTATATATGGCCTCTATTGATTCAAATGATGGCTCTCACTATTTATCACTGTCCCACCTAGGTATCATGATATGGTTGGCTCTCACGGCGTAGCATTTTGTTATGTATTGTGCTTTGTTTGCACCTTCAAGTTGGTGTAATTCTCGGATACACTTTGTAAGAGCCCAAACTCTTTATCATCAGAATATTACCCTCTTTGGCTTGATGGCCTTATGATTTTCTCCCATTAGTGTAATTTTCTAGGAGGTCACCCATCCCAGTAGTGTTCTTGCATAAACATGTTTAACGTTAAAGTTTTTGATGAAATTGGAACTATACACCAAAAGGCACTTTAATGTTTAAGACTTCGGTTTTATTCTACGTGAGGGGTTTCACAGCTAGGCTCTTCTAGGGATTAAATTTAGTATTTGTTCTTTGCTTTGATTGAATTTGGTATCGTTTGTTAGTGGAGGTAAAGCCAATTAAAATTCTATGGTATAGTAATCTTAGGTTTACAGTTGGACCAAGAATGCTATTGTTAGAGGGTATTGAGCCATAACATCTTGAGAGCTTGATTAGAAATAATTGATTGCCTTATTTAATTTATTTGATCAGTAAGAGCAGAAGTTTGTTAAAATCATGTTTTTGAGACAGTTAGTGTTGGCACTCCATCCGAAAAATGGAGTAGCTGAAAAGAAAATAATAGATTTTTTTTTAGTTTGAGTACTTTTGTTTCAAACTGATGTGCTCAGATAGTTTTGGGTTGATGGAGTTTCTACTATTTTATAGAACCAGATACCATACCAAATTTTATTTTCAACTTACACTCTCTTTCTCATTGAACCACGTATATTTAGTTGTACTTGGTTTGTTCGTGATTCTCATCCACAAGTTTGTAAATTGGACCCTAAGTCACCCATGAACAAATCCCATTCTTAGGTGATTTATCGTTGCAGAGATTTTTACAAGATTCTGACGAGTTTTAAATGTATCATATCATCAGTTTAGATTCCGCTCCAGCTCTTCACCACGTGCCATAGCTTGGACCACCTATCACTAATTTTTACTCTAGAAGACCTCGTCCCTCTGATCGTAGTCCGGCACTGGTATCATCTTTGTCCGTGGATCCTCTTTGTGATGAATTGGCTTTACATGTTGATATTATGCATTTTACTCTTGCTTTGTGTGTTACTATGCCCTTGGAAAATGAGTTTTATGCCAATAGAAAATGTGTAGTACATGTTCATGTTCATGATAAGAAGTTGGCAACAGAGTTCATTAGCATGTTAATTCAGACCTTTGATGTTATTTTGAGGATGGATTAGTTGGTAAAGCACTTTGCTACAATTGAATACTGAAAAAGACGGATGACGTTGGAATTGCCTGGTAAAAACCATTCTATATCCTATGTGATTGAAATGCATAATCTTTTTTGATTAGTGCAGTGAAAGTTGTGAAATGCTTGCGAAGTAGTGAACTGGTATTTTTTGCCAAAATTAGATATGATAAATAAAGTTGCACATGAATTGAAAAACATCTCAGTGGTTTCAGAATTTTCTGATGTATTTTCTGAAGAATGATCAGGGCTACCGCCAGAATGAGAAGTGGAGTTTGTATTGACGTGCAATCAGAAACGTCTGCAATATTCAACTCATCGTATAAGATGGCTCTGAAGGAATTGCAAGAATTGAAATGTCAGTTGCAATAATTGATTGATAAGAGTTTTATCAGACCAAGTAATTCACTATGGAGTGCTCCAATATTATTTGTATAGAAGGATGGATCCATGCGGTTATGTATTGATTACAGAGAATTGAACAAGGTGACAATAAAAAACAAATATCCTTTGCCAAAAATCGATAATCTATTTGATCAGTTAGAGGGTGCAACTGTATTTTCTCAAATTGATCTGAGATCTAGATATCATTAGGTCGGAGTCAAGGAGTCTAATATAAATAAGAGAGCTTTTGGGACTAGGTATGGTCATTATGAATTCTTAGTTATGTCTTTTAGCTTAACTAATGTTCTTACATTTTCATGGACTTGATGAATCGAATTTTCAAGCCATATGTCGATCGGTTCGTCATTATACTCATTGGTGATATTATGGTTTATTCAAAAACTATTGAAGATCGTGCTAAGCATTTCAGGATGGTTTTGGAGTTACCAAGGCTGAATCAGTTATATGCAAAATTTTTGAAATGTTAATTTTTTTTGTGAAGCATTTCATTTTTGTGACACATTATCAGTGGTCAGGGAATTTTAATGGATCCTCAGAAGCCAAAGCAATTGTGGAATGACTTACTCTGAAGAATTTTACAAAGGTACACAATTTTCTTGGTTTGGTAGGATATTACAGAAGATTCGCAAAAGGTTTTTCATAAATAGCTACGCTGTTATCTAAGCTGATGAGAAAGGATGTCCAGTTTCAGTGGAATGCAGAATGTGAGCACAATTTTCAAGAGTTGAAGAAACATTTGACCACTGCACTAGTGTTAGCTCTTCCATCAGGTACAGAAGGATTCTAGATTTACGGTGATACATCATTAAAAGGCTTGGGTTGTGTTTTAATGCAGAAGAAAAAGGTAATAGCCTATGCTTCCAGACTGTTGAAGCCACATGAAAGAAACTATCTAACGCATGATCTTGAGTTAGCTGTTATAGTGTTTGCTCTCAAGATTTGGCGACATATTTATATGACGTGAAATGCAAAGTCTTCACTGATCATCAAAGACTGAAGTATATTTTCACACAAAATGAGTTGAATTTAAGGCAACAAAGATGGTTAGAGTTAATCAGAGATTACGAGCTGGTTATACAGTATTATCTGTGTCGATCAAATGTTTTTACTAATGCATTGAGTTGTAAATCCACACGTAGTGTAAGCTGGATTCTTACTCAAAGGCCAAATTTGATTAAATAAATTGATGCTCTACAATTGGAGGTTAGAAGATCCGGTGATATTGGGTTACATCTTTGACTGACAGTGCAACTTAAGTTAATGGATAGAATCAAGGCAACGCAAAAAGTTAGCGGTGAATTGTCGGTCGTTTTATTGTTCAACTTAACTTTCGTAGTTTGAAAAGGTGATGATTTTGTGATTTTGAAAATAATTTAAATATAAATATAACTTTTTTTTTTAAAGAAGTAACATTTTAATTTTTTTAAAATAAGTGAGACCAAACGAGTCTCACATTTTTAAATAGTTTAGATGATTTAATACAATACTACAAGCAATACATTTATCCCGAAGAATAAATATATCACTTGTAATAGGGATTTAATCATCTAGACTAAACAATTTGTGACATCTGTTTGGTCTGCGAAATATTTTTATAAAAAGGCCAACAAGTTCTCCTATCTAACATAAAAATTAGATAGGGTTTATTTTATCTGGGTTCCTGGTTCCCTATAGAGGCAAGCGCTATAGTTAATTACATCTTAACTGATCGAAATCACTTAAGATAACTCTCGATTAAGATCAGGTGGTTTTTCTTTCAAGATTTCAAAGTTTAGGTT